GCTGTCCCATAGTTTCTGGCAAAGATTATAGGCCAGGGTATACAAGGCACTGTTATAAATGTGTCTATAATTTGATCCATAATCATCATTCATTAATAATATCAATTTTACTTAGGATTATGTTGATGAGCAATCTTTTGCTGTGCAAATTTAGGGGGCTATATATAACAAACCAGTAATGGGTGACGCTTGATGATCTTCATTCAAGATTCATTATCGGAAAGGAATTATCAGCAAGAAATGGTCTTTTCATTGGCTGATAAAAATGAATCTTGGGTAGATGTTTGCCAGGTTGTATATTTCTTGTAGCCTTTGACTTGCATAAGGAAAAGAAAATATATGCTGACACTACATTCTACATGCTAGATGACGAACTCATTGTTGAAGAACATATTAGTTATGTTTATATAGAAAAAGAACACTGTAAAGTCACCTTGTACTGGACAGAGTAATGTAATAAGTGCAGAGCTCGGCACAACTAATTTACATTACCACTTGCAGTTTAAATGGTAATAAATGTAATATTTTACATTCATCCATCTTTACTGTCTTACATTTTGAGGAGCATTACAGTACAAAACTTAAATGTGCCCTAATAGCCTACTGCCCTTTCATTATATTACTCTATCTAACAGCATAATTATAAGGTTATATTTCATTAAGGGGTGAGTCTTATTTAATAGTTTGTTTGTGAATTTATTTAGATATACCGTAAACCTCCGACTATAAGCCCTGGGCTTATATTCTTTCGTAAGCGATTTTTGATGGGCTTATACAAGGGTGAGCTTATATACGGGGGGGCTTATACATGGACGATCTTTTGTGTTAGTAATAATAGTGATTAATAGTGGTAATAGTGATAAACAATAGTGATAAACAAGTGGGCTTATATTCGGTGGGCTTATATTTGGGGGGGGGGCTTATATTTGGAATACGATGAGTGTTACTACATTACTACATGTGGTAGGCTTATACACGGGGGGGCTTATATTCGGGGGGGGGCTTATATTCGGAGGTTTACGGTATATCATTTTGACATTGAGCATAATAATTTTCACTTAAATACATTGTGTTTTATATATTTTCTATTTATGTGTATAATGCTAAGTTGAATAGAATATTATTTTTTGCCAAACTGTGTTGATTTAGGTTATGTTAGATACCACTAAGATGGTTTCGATAAATCGAAACATTGACTTGGTCTTGATAATTCGAAACATTGAGTTTTATATATTTTCTATTTATGTGTATAATGCTAAGTTGAATAGAATATTATTTTTTGCCAAACTGTGTTGATTTAGGTTATGTTAGATACCACTAAGATGGTTTCGATAAATCGAAACATTGACTTGGTCTTGATAATTCGAAACATTGGCATAGTCTCAATAAATCGAAACATTGATATGGTCTCGATAAATCGAAACATTGACATGGTCTTCGATAAATCGAAACATTGGCATGGTGTTGATAAAACGAAACATTGACTTGGTCTCAATAAATCGAAACAATCACATGGTCTTGATAAATCGAAACATTGGCATGGTCTCGATAAATCGAAACATTGACTTGGTCTCGACAAATCGAAACATTCACATGGTCTCGATAAATTGAAACATTGACATGGTCTCGATAAATCGAAACATAGATATAGTTTCCATAAATTGATCAGAGATGCCTTTGGTTAAACCAACATATTTTCACTATTAGCAGTCATGCTACTTTTGCATTATTTGATCCTTTTCAGAACAGTCTATAAAATGTATTGTTAATTTTAGATAAATTTGATTGTTTTAGCAAGAGAAGAAAATTTGCATTCTTTTTTTTGCACAAAAGGTGTTTTTAAGCACCAGTTTTTCTGTGTTTTTCAGTTTTAGATAAATTTGTTTAAAAATACGAAAATTGGCACCATTTTTGGCTAAATAGAATATTGGACCCTATACTAGAACGTGTTTTAAATATATCATGACCAGAAATCACGGACATGATTTATTCTGCGTCCTTCGTAATATGGCTTCTGCAGTAAACAGTAAATTATATTACGCGATGCTGTGAATCCCAAAATCAGAGAATATGGTAGGTCGTTTGCAACTTGCCTCAGTCGCTGGCTATAAATCAAAGTCTGTCGAAGTATTTGGCGTAATGTTGACTTGATTTTAATTGGTGACCATTCTGCATTTTCAGTATTTGTACGGAAGTTAGTTTGTACGGAATTCGTCTATTTAACTCTATATAATAATACCGCACTATATAGCCACTACAAGACAAACCAAAATGCAAAATAGGCAGTAACTTACACCAGGCAAACACTACACGACATATTTCAACAGACCGTGTTCTCACAACCAGCAATCGAGGCAAATTGCAAACGACTATACCAATATTCTCTGCTTTTGCAAATTTATTTAAAGCATCGCGTAGTATAATGTACTGTTCACTATCGAATCCATATTTCAACGGGTTATGTATTAATGTATGCAAAGTTAGTAAGGAAGTAGAATAATCATGTCCGTGATTTCTGGCCATGTAAATTTACAACCCAATACAACTCTTATCCCCAACCATCAGCGTTTAGAGTTCAGTTTTGTTTTATGATCATGCTTTAGTCAATGTAATTTCGTTTTTCCAGCTGATGAAATTATAAGCAGACAAAGAACTATTTAAGTGTACGGCCGCATCAATTGAAAAACAAAACTTTGTAGTTGCCATGGCCTATTGGCACAATTGAATTTCGTTCTTGAGTACTTAATTAAGTGTGTTCTCCAATAATACTCAAATTTTTATTAAAATTCATGATCATTTCCCACTTTAACCTCTTCCATTCAAGTGTATGTCAACATTCGGTAAACAGTTTTAAACATCAGCATAGCGTCAACGCAGACACGTCTAGTTCAACGCTGCTGGCCTTTGAGTGTGGAAGAAATTTCCATTTATTAACGAAAATCTTCAGACTAAGGTAGGATAAAATTTCAGAATGTTTTGAATTGGCGACATCATTATATATAAAACATACAAAACCGTTCATGTATTTTGTATATTGTATATTGTATATTGTATATTGTATATTGTATATTGTATATTGTATATTGTATATTGTATATTGTATTTTGTATATTGTATATTGTATATTGTATATTGTATATTGTATATTGTATATTGTATATTGTATATTGTATATTGTATATTGTATATTGTATATTGTATTTTGTATATTGTATATTGTATATTGTATATTGTATATTGTATATTGTATATTGTATATTGTATATTGTATATTGTATATTGTATATTGTATATTGTATATTGTATATTGTATATTGTATATTGTATATTGTATATTGTATATACAGCCACACATAATTAGAACCAACGTCTCCGGTTAACATGCTAGAAATTAACGAGTGTATATCAAAGTTTAACCCGAAAACGTACAATACATTAAGTTATTGAAATAGTGAATTAGTAGACGTGATCCAATTTTTAACTTATTCAATTTCTTTCAGTTTTTTTCATCTTAAATTTTTCATTGTCCATTTTCGCTTAATTAACAACCAATTCAGCTAGACTTCAAACGAAAACTTTCTGTGCCTTGGTCAGGAATCTGAAAATCCAGCCCCATGTTAATGTGTATATATACGTTTATGAAATTAGTCGACCAGTAAAAAATTTTCACATCACAAGGACGCGTCTGTCTCGCAACAAGTTTTCGTGGGCGAGTTCACCCCATTGCGAAAGTGGTTTATATGCCAAGTGTTCCCGCGCTTTGTAGGGGCCTTGAGAGTTTGAGGTGCCGCAATTTCTCTTCTGCACTTCCTGCAAAACTGTTGTGGGCATACGATACGGTGCCCAAAATCGGTCTGCCCTCATTACCGCAATCATTCATGGCACGCATAACATCCCACGCTCCAATAAGCTTTCTTAGCCGTTTAAAGCAGGCACAGAGGCTGGCACCTAAACGTACTGGCTATAAACATACTTGCCTCCCAAAATACAGAAATTGCAACGATTTTTAATATTATCTGCGTTTGTATTTTATTATGCCTTTGTATTTTTAGTTTTCTACTGATTTCTCAAGAAGTCAAAATTCTGCGTAGTATACAGGTAAGCTACTATAGTAGTTTTTCAATTAGCCACACCGAATTGTAACCAACATCTCTGGTTTTAATTACACTCCATATATATATTAACGAGTATACATCCAAGTTCAAAACGAAAAAGTATAATATAAGAAATTAGGATCTTGGGCATCTGCAATCCATACAGAGTAATTATACTTCTAGAAGCGTTTTGTAGATGGAAATTTCGAATGAAAATTTCATATATTTATTATAGATTTAAAGTAGGCCTATATGACAGGAATGGAAGCTGCGATCTTGGGATTCAGGCGCAGCGCTTATAGTTATATCGAGTGTAGCTATATATATGCCCAAAATCCTGATAAGCGATATAATATATAGCTAATCCATTTTAAATCATTCCACCCATTCATTTTGTTCATTTTCACTAATTTCATTTTATTAACAACAGAGAGTTCAAATTATATCATCATTTTGGGCTTTGGTCTGGATTCTGAAAATCCGGCGCCACGGCCATGTATTAGTGTATCGTCAGTATAGCTATCATGGCGGTCGTCAGAAAACCGAAAACATCTCATAGAAAATTATTTTGTTCTACACACACAATTTCCATATATATATCGATTGTGTTAACAAGCTTTAGTTTTAAAAATAGGTTGTTTTCTTTTCCGAATTTGAATATTCCGAAACAATTAGTATATAACATCCTTTATAGTTTTCCGCGCTATTAAGGCGCCATGAGTCAAAGGTTGATTAACTAATTATGGGAACAGTATAAACGAAAGAATGGAAACTTTATTTATTTCATAATATACCATAAAACTATATTTACATTGATAAACCTCGCTCATAAAGGTAGTTTGTCGATGACTACTTGAAAAATATTTGGATTATATAAATTTACAAAAATAGGAAATTTAATATTGTTCAAAAGTTTAGAAGCTCTGGGCTAGTCCAGTCTTTGTTTCGCTGACAGAATACATAATATGATGCGCGAATACAAATAGCAATGATTTTCTTTTTAATGTATTTAATTTGTTGTTTATCGAACTTCAGTTCCTTGAGCATATCCGTTAAGGTGTTCGTCGATTGACCAAAAACGCCTAGCAAGCTTATGGATACATTAACAAATTTTACCTTATCATAGTTACTTTCTTGATCTGAAATAAGCGGCAGGTATATTTTATGTTTTCGATCTGAGTTAGAGGTAAGATTTGTTTCAAAGCCAACAGTCAGTTCCAAAACATATAAAACTTTATTTTCAATTGCGAAGAGAAAGTCTGGACGTAACTGATCACCAGTGATAACTGACGGAGTAATAAAGCCAGGCAAATCTATCTAATATAATAATGAAAACTTTATTAATAGAACATTTATAGATATATACAATTGTAAATCTCACTTCTTGAGGTAACCTACAATTGACTACTTGAATCACTTATACATGCATGGTTATAATTTTATATACAAAAATTGTTGATTATTTATAGAAATAGTTACTTTAAATGTTCATTAGTTCGGGATTAGTCCATTCTTTATTTCTACAGCAAAATATGTAGTACGTTGATCGGATGGCAATAGATATAATTTTTCTGATACAATATTGTTGGTGTTGATTACCCAGTCCTAACTCATTTAGCATTTTTACGAATGTATGACATTCTTTGTCAAACACCCCTAGCGAACTGACAGACAGATTTATAAATTTAACAGATGTAAAGTTTTGATCCAGTTCTCTAATTAGGTTTTTATATTTAGCTTTCTTGCGGTTAACATTGTTTGTGAGGTTTGATTCAATGCCTACGGTAAGTTTAACAACGTAGAGGTGTTTGTCTGAAGTGGAGACAAGTAAATCAGGACGATATTCATCTCCCGTAATAATCGAGGGGCTTTCAAATCCAGGAAGATCAACAAGTAATTTGCATTTTTTTAAACTTTGAAAAGTTTTTGCAAGAAACTTTAGTATGCAATCGTGTCTCCAATTAAATCGTTCCAAGTAATGTTGACAACCGGCAACAACGTGTAGAAGAGATTCAGAGTGTAAGCAGAACGAGAAGTCAGAACTTGATGAAATTTCCCATCTACTTAGGTTCTTTCGGGTAGGAAGGGTATTATTTATATAGCGAATTGTAAAGTTGAAAATGTTCTTTGGTAGCTTTGATTGTGATACCGACCAGATTGCGTTAAGTTGTGATAGGGAGAATTTAGAAACATTTTCGAAAAAGGAACCTTGACATTTCAAACGGTTCCTAAGTTTATTTTCTTGTTGAGAATGGAAATTTTTTAAAACTTCGTTAGTTGAGTTGTAGCTATCGTATTGAATGTTAGTATGATTATTAGTTGACTTCCACAGTAATAATAATAATAATAATAATAATAATAATAATAATAATAATAATAATAATAATAATAATAATAATAATAATAATAATAATAATAATAATAATAATAATAATAATAATATTAATAACAATAATGATAATAATAATAATAATAATAATAATAATAATAATAATAATAATAATAATAATCTTATTCATCATTTCATTATATACAATAATTCTTTTGTTATCAATGACTATATTAAATAATCTGTTCTTTGGGTATAATTAAAAAAGTGTCTAAATTTTTGTTGATATGCACAGTTAAATTTTAAAAACAAACTCTGGAACATATACCGCTACATAATTAAAATATTTACCGCTAAGTAGCTAAATAACTAAACTAAGATATTCCGCTAAATAACTAAACAACTAAACTGTGTATATGTGCAGTCTAAATGTTTGAGAGATAACACTCTCGGCGTTCTCAATGTTGAAATCAATGTTCTTAATATCATACATGATTTTCCTTGCCCTTGAACCCCTCAAGCAGGTAAGTGCCGATCTCAATAAAGCGAATGAGGTTCTGGCTCTTATCCAACTCATAGTTGTCGCATAATCTTCGCCTTTCTTCATGGCTACCAACTCTGCCAATCGACTATGGTATCTCACACATTCTTTGCCCATACCGCCTGTGGTGGTGAATACGAGTGGCGTAAATGTTCCTTGCTCTATTTCGAGGACTCTCCTTGCATATAGGCGCTTCTTCTCGTTTTCGTGTATCTTGTAGACTTGGCGTAGCTCCAGGTCCTTGTACGAATCAGCATTGGGATGACAAACCTTTACATCAAAAAAGGCTGATCGTTGACTTTCCCAGAACCCACGCGCACGAATGTCCAGTCTAGCATCAGGTGCTCTGTTGGGGCCTCCATTTAGTTGCTCTCCCGAGATGTCTTGTAGGACAGGCTCAACTTGGACTTCACTACAGACAATGTTGAGGAGTTCCGCTTCCAGATCTCTTAACTCATTGTGGCGCATAATTACAAAGCCTCCACGTTTGCAGATCATGGCATGGTCGACCGTGAAGGTATCCCCACATACACATATTGAGGGGATGTCGTCGATTGGCCAATCATAGCGCAGCTTTACGGCGTCCCGAAATTCTCTCCTATTCAAGTTGAATCCCTGCTCTTTTAGGGGAAGTGCTGTGAGCCACACAGATGATCCTTTTTCCGAAGCCACATCTAATATACGCTGAATTCTTGGTGGTGCACTCTCTCTAATACGTTCTGCCCTCTCCTGCCACTCTTGCACTCTTTCTTTTCTAACGGCTTGTTGCGCTGATTTTATATGCGACTCGTTGGGTAGCTGATGGAACTGCGCTACAATCTGATCAACAAGGGGTGCTGTCACTCCTTTTGACGACACATACTGACGTTCTGCCTCATGACTTGGATTTTCCAAGCCCAGGCCACCCAGACGTGCTGGAAGTGCTAGAATGTCCCGATCGAGTGGATTGCACTGGTGATCTGTGATAGCGGGGATGAGAATCTGCGATATTGCCTTTTCGAGTGGCTATAGTAGGTCCTGGATGTCTGGCAGGGTTTTTAGGAAGTAGGTCCAACGATGTTTCAAACCAAATGTGTATGCGGCATAGGACGCTTGTGGTTGGGACAGTGCAAATTCGGCTAATTCTGTCACTTCGTTGACCCAATTAGAGATCTTCTCATTAACATATTCCTCCAGATACTCTCGTGAACTTAGCGCTGCTCCCAGATGTTTCTGCCCATGCACTGTTATATTGATATCCGTTCCATGGAAGACTTCTCTCAAACTTTCTTCCTTTTCGGGCTTAACAATAATCCAGCATTTCTCGTCTTTCGGAAAATATCCCAAGTTTGGACCAACAGTATTCAATGCATCCCACCAATCTTTGATTTGTGTCACACGACCAGCTCCACTCGCATCGTCTGCGAACCAACACTGCTTCACGGTAGATGCGGCCTGTAGACTCGTGATCAAAGGCAGGGTACTTATCGCATAAAAGGCCATTGCCAAAGGATCTCCTTGTGTGGTTCCTTCTGCTGACGCAATCTCTTTGCCGCCAACAATAAACAGCCGAGCTGGCTGTCTGTAGGTGTTTATAGCGTAGGCAGCGATTATCGGACATAACACACGGATGTTATGCAGAGCCACAGTTCTGTTGAGTGCATTGAATGCATTGGAAGCATCGATAAGTAAAACAGCATCAATGTCATCAGCTTCAAACAGGGTGTTCATTGCATGTATTGCAGCCTCACTTCCAGACTTTTGCCCAGCGCATAATTGTAACGATCCACTTGCTTCCACAACATCCTTCTTTGCAAAGCTCATAACACATTTTGCACTTATCCTCCTTATTACCTCTCCTACTCCGATAGGTCTTACCGCACCTTCGCCTTTGTCTAGGGGAATTAAACGACTAGCAATCAATGCTTTATTAGTAGTAGGATCGATATATTGTGTGCACAAAGTCTTGGTCATTCTGGCTATAGCTTCGCACAGTCTTGTAGATGATTGCTTAAAGGACTTACATGCCAACATTCTTCTAAAGCCGTTAGCATCAACACCAGACGAGCATCCGGATCCCTTTGTTCTCAAAGCGGCTTGTCTAACCATCTCACCATTGATCTGTGAGTAAATATATTCGGGTATCTCGTCATTGAGCGGGCCAAATAATACCGATCCGAGTTTGCTGGTTGTGGCACAGGATGCTTCTGTTTTAATTGCGTCATTACATCGTCAGTTAACGTTAACATGCCGCCATTTGAGGTTTCACTCAGGAAGCGAAGGGCTGAGTTGATTTGACCTTCTAGCACAAGCTTAGCAAAGACTTTAGCTTTATCGGGGTGGTTTGATCCTTTAAATTTTCCAATACGACTTTGTACGATTCGTCCCTCACGTATTAGCTTACTGATCTCACCGTCCTTCCAAAGTGCAAGTCGCTTTGACAAGGCATCTTGATGGTCCTTTGCCTTAGACTTCGGGTTTGGCTTTTGAAGCCCAACGGCGAGAAGTACAAAAACAGCTTTTAGGGAAACATGTTGATTTTCCGAACCGCTATTCCAGTCGTTTATACGCATCGTTATTTGATCGATAAAATAATAATAATAATAATAATAATTAAGAATTGTTTAATAAAAATCCCTATTCTACCATGCCATGTCCATGTATATTTATTTAAAATACAGTATTTATAAAAAACAACATGAGGTTGTATAAAATATTACACTGCTGACCACCCACCGCTAAATATTTCATGTAATTGTTATTTATAAAAAAAAAATACAAATGCGGCGGCTATTTCCTAATGCGGGCGGTGAGGAGAAACAGGGAATTTTTTTTACTTGGCCTTAGTGTATCGTCAGTGCTATCATGGCGGTCGTCAGAAAACCAAAAATATCTCATACAAAATTTGTTCTACATACACAATTGCCATATGTCGATTGCTTTTTAGCAAGCTATAGTTTTAGAAATAGATTGTTTTCTTTTCTGAATTTGAATATTCCAAAACAATTATTATAATTACATCAATTATGGTTTTCGCTATTATTGCGGCATACGCAACTGATATGATGCAAACAGATATTCATTAACCAATTAATGGAAGCAGTATAAACGGTCGTTTCGTACGTGATCTTTTCAGCTACTTATTGGTTTCGCGGTCGGACAAAATGTCAAAATTCTGCATAGTACAGGTATTAGCTAGCATAGTAGTTTTTCAATCAGACGCACCTAATTATAACAAACGTCCCTGGTTAACATGCTAAAACTTAACGAGTGTATATCCAAATGTAAATGTGAAAAAAGTGAATTCTGGTAAAAGTGATATAACCCTTTTTTTAATACATTCAATTTCTTTCGTTCTATTCATCTTAAACGTTTCAACCTCCATTTTCATTTAATTAAAAACCTAGAGTTCAAATGGCAGCTTTGTGAGCCTTGGTCAGGAATATGAAAATCCGGCCCATGCATGTACAAGTCTGTAAATATATAGAATATATATAACGCTATAAATTTATTCGACGAGTGAAAAATATTCACATCACACACGTCCGTCTGGCAACAAGTTTTCGATGCCGGATTTGACCCATTGCAAAAGCGGCGTACGCTTGGTGCCTACGCGCTTGATAGGGGCCTTACGAGTTTTGAGGTTCCGCAACTTTTGTTCTGCACTTCCTTTCAAATGCACAGAAGATACGTTGCCCAAAATCGTTTTTCTGTTACTATTATTTCAAATATCATGTGCATGACAATAGGGTTAATTAAGTTTTTATTGGATAAATCAAGGTGGAAGGGGCTGATGGATTGGTATGAGGACAGTTAATTTGACTACTTTTGACTAGTGTAGCAGCCAATTTTCTTGGGTACAGCCTGATTATTTTACTTGTCAAGAGAAAGCTCAATCTAGTTGCGAAATTTTATTAAAAATCTTATGGAAGATTTCATTTCTTCTCACAAGGAGATTTACTACCATTTTCGATTTTTAAACTTTAATATTATATAAAAATTAAGCTATGTGTTAACATTTGAACACCACCTATACTACAAAACATACAACCAAAATTAATGTGCAGTTCTTGGTCTTTGAACATCTATATATAATGAAAGGACACATTTCTTGAATATATATTATCATTGGAGAAGTCATGAAAATTGGTATATATCAATAAGTAGATCAGGTGTTAAATATATCTTCAAAACGCAAAATGCTCATAGCCCCCAACCACATAAACCATAAACTGTGAATGCTCCCTTATCGCGGACCATTTTTCTAGCTTCGTGATACGAACTAGAAATACATGCATGCAGCAATAACTGTTATGCGCTGAGTTCGATTAATAAATTGATGATTAGAATGGATTAATGGACCAGGTCTTCAAGTTTTGGTCTACGTTACGCCAGCTACATTAAATGCATGATATGACAAGTAAAGCTCTTCAGCCACTGATCAGAGGTGTGCCCAAAACATACTTAATAGAATAAGAAGGTTAGGAAACTCGATGCAAACATTATAGAGCACATTATCTATTTTTTGTTTTGATTTATGCAAAAAATACGTGTCATTGTTTTTTCGCCCAACTAACCAATAGCGGTGTGTTTGTTTAATTAATTACCCAGTCGTGATTACGCGATGCTTTAAATCGCAAAATCAGAGAATATTGGTAGGTGGTTTGCAATTTGCTTCGATTGCTGGTTGAAATATAATGTGTATAGTGTTTGCCTGCATTTTCGTTTTTTTCTGGTGACAATAGTGCGGTTTTCTTATATAGAGTTAAATAAACAAATTCCGCACAAACTAACCTGTATGCAAATATACTGAAAATGCAGAAGTAGTAATATATATATATATATATATATATATATATATATATATATATATATATATATATATATATACAGGCCGTTCGGCCGACCCCTTTTTTGTGGTGGAGTGTGGTGGAATGTGGTGGAGTGTGGTGGAGTGTGGTGGAGTGTGGTGAAGTGTGGTGAAGTGTGGTGTAGTGTGGTGGAGTGTGGTGGAGTGTGGTAGAGTGTGGTGGAGTGCGGTGAAGTGTGGTGGCGCATCATCATTAACATGTGTGTGGTGGTGGAGTGTGGTGGTGGAGTGTGGTGGTGGAGTGTGGTGGTGGAGTGTGGTGGTGGAGTGTGGTGGTGGAGTGTGGTGGTGGAGTGTGGTGGTGGAGTGTGGTGGTGGAGTGTGGTGGTGGAGTGTGGTGGTGGAGTGTGGTGGTGGAGTGTGGCGGTGGAAAGTGGAGTGGAGCGGAGGTAATTAATATATGATGACGATGATGTTGATATTGATATTGATTATGTTGATGATGTTGTTGACGACGACGACGACGATGGCGGCGACGACGACGACGACGACGACGGTGTGTGGTGGAGTTTTTTCGCGACAACAAAGGAAACTATACTACTCGCACTTATCTGAAAACTGGCAGTGAATAATGCATCCCTCGCAGCCATATTCATGTGACCACCACGAATCCACTGTGGCATTGCTTATCCATAACGTGGCATGTTAGAAGAGGTTCTTATAGTTTTTTCTATTGTTGGGTAAGGACGCGTAATATCTATAGATAGAAAATGGTCATCTGTGGCTGGTCTTTCGTCTGAAAATTGATGGTGAATAGCTAAAGAGGTCACGCAAATACAATGACCTCGCATCTCATTATCTAGCTCATGAAAGGTTATAAAACGCATTACAAGAGGTGCGGAAGGCTATATCTTTCAAACCACACAGGAAAATACATTAATTGGCTTGATAGTTAAACTAATTTAGACACCTAACAATACGATAGGTGGATAATTTGACACATTTGAAAAACTCTTCTCATTATAAGTATTCATGCTTTAAAATTGGCCCAGTAGTTACTATTTATGTATTCAAGGACCATTAATAAATTAACGATTATAGGCCTAATGTAGCTAAATTAAATGCATGACCCTTAGAAAAAGAGGTTAAGCATTTTGAACAGAATACTAGAAATAGGTGAGTCAAGATATAGGTAAGTATTTAGTCAATGTAATTACATGGAATAACTTAGGTACAGGAGGAAACTATACCTTTAAAATAAAAAGCTAGAGGTATAGCATTAGACTTTTAAAGAGGAAGGTTTTTCGCTCGAAACATCAAAGACCTCGCTATAGTTTTCGGGTAGCTTGATGCTGTAACAATTCAGTGATATTTAAAGACAAACATTTAACTACTTTTTAACCGTCCGTTTCGTAGTTAAATTGTTAGTTAACTCTCTTATATCATCACAATTCTGATTGCGGTAAACTTTTCCACTAACTATATAAGTAACTTTAATTACTTTCTTATAGAATGCTCCCCAATTGTATACTAGCGGCTTGCCAATGATTGAAAAAGTGCTATTCCACAAACAGCCGTAGAAAGTATGGAAAATTTCCACAGACATCAGTACATGAAAGGCACTAAAATAAAAGACACGTATACGATGCCGGTACCCGTGTAAGAGGGAACCGCGGGGTATCTTAGTATCATCTTTAATTAAAAGCTGCCGATCATAATCTCGACAAGCGTGGGCTAGCTCCATTCTTTATATGCTAGAAATATATGCATGCAAAAACCCCTAACCATCATTCCCCAAACATTGTTTCAACATGAAGTATTCGTAATTACGCCAGCACTGAACGCAGGTTCGCGTTCGTCACGTCATGTTACACGCGTAAAAATTGAGAAAATCAACAACTTGTTCCAGGTTGAATATCAACAGGCGTTGTGCGGCCCACTGTGAACAGTATTGTCAACATGTTGTTACAGCATTGTTCAACTGTAGCAACTTGGAACAACATGGTTGACAACTTGTTTATAGTTGGCCGCACAACATTGCTCACGCCTGTCGATGTCAACTTGGAACAACCTGTGCGTTTTTAGCCGTGTAATCAGGCCACACGGTAATTGTTTTTTTAATTTTTTTGTACAAACCTGTAAACAATATATGAAATACAGAACTATCAATTTCTAAAATATTTAATGTAGGTATATTATTTTGTTTTTTTCCATGGACTTTATTTTAATGTAAAATTCAAAACGAAACTCTACGTAAAACGTTTTTAAATGTGAATTTAAATCAACTGCTTTTTGCCGATATTAAACTCTTCAACTTGAGGTTCAACTTATTACTCGCATCTGAAATGAAATAAATTTAATTCCTACACGACGCTAATGAAAATAATTTGCTTTCCTTTTTATCGTTAAGTCAACGTTAAGTCAAGTCAACGTTAAGTCAAGTCAACGTTAAGTCAACGTTAAGTTAAACGTTAAGTCAACTAAAGAAACTTTCGCATACAATGCGTAGGAAAGATTTGAGCAACAAGAACAAAGTCTATAATATTAAATACAAAGGAATACATGCATAAACAATTTATTCAAACTTGCCCTATACTTTAGGATTTCTCATGCTAAATCAATTCTTATCAATGTTTACGTTTAAAAATTGAAAAAATGTTTTACAATTTGTTTTGAGGAACGATTTTCCAAGCTTTCTTACATGATTTTTATATCAGTTTTCCCCTTCTTCATTCCTGGCAAAAACAGCGATGCATATCTTGAGATCAGTGAGATGACCACCCGTACACCATCCGCCCGCGATATTTGATGAACTTTAGACTTCGGTAGTGCGTTCCTTTCCCCGGATGTAAATAGCCTGACGGAATTAGTACCCTCGCCCCGGGCTTACGCCCGGAATGGCGCTCCGCGCCGTTGGCTCGGGAATGAATGAATTTAATAAAATTAAAAATAAAAAGGTGCAAACGGGCTTTATATTTCCGAAAAGTATTTGAGCAATCATTTGCATTCCAATTATTCTTTGAACAGTATGAGTATTAACTAAAATACTATCAAAAACATGTACTTCTCAATCACTAAATTAATAAAAAAAGTAATGCCAGAATGCTGGATTCGCCCCTGAGTTTTTTAAACTAACGTAGTCACGCAAAACATTTCCTATAATTGTAGATATCGGAGTGAATTTTGGAAGCAACTCATGAATTCTGGTCATGTCCTGATTGTCTATCTGTTACTGCAGTGCGCACAGACCTGTAGTTCTCTCCACTGAAGTGCGTGGTTAAAATTGTTCATGTCAGGTAATTGTTGCAAATGTTATAAATATAACTGAAAAAATATCAACAGAAAATTAGATTGTATCTTAGACCTATACTCCAAATTAATTATGGAAGGCGATTGGATCCTGAATTTAATTAGTCCACTTAACCAGTTTTCTGAGTCTGTTTAAAAGTGGCGGTGGGGGAGAAGGGAGAGCTAGTAGAGGGAACAAAAATATCCTTTTTTGAAAAGGGATGGAGTGAAATGGCTTGGAGTGACAACATATTATCTCAAGAAGCATTTTTGTGATATTTGAACATAATTCAAATGCATGTTTGTTGATCGATCATATTAATGTTAACATGTAGGAGAGTAGGACAAGTTGATTGGTTCGAATGCCTAACCTATAGATTTTTTTAATTGTGTACGAAGCTTTCTAATTGGGCAAACAAAAATATGAAACAACTTCAAACCAATACTGGGAATGGTGCGAGACTCGACAAACCTTCTGTATTTCGAATTTAATGAGCGATTTTACCTTTATGGAATGCAAATATGTTGGTATTACCCCCCCCCCCCGCGCTCTCTGATCGGTCTTAAACGAACCTGAACTAAACAAACTGTATTTAGCTGGAATCATGGACAAATGTGTTAATAAAATGATCGACAATTTAGGAAAATACAATCAAATAACTTCATATATCCCCCCCCCCCCACTCCCCCAATCAATGTTGGTATGATTTTCCTCTCATTTTAAACCTTGTTCAACAACATTGTGTTGGGGGAGGGGGGGATGTTTTAGACAAACTAAGGAATTAAACTACAATTTAAACTCTCACAGAGGCAAATTAAAATTTTATTAACAAGTTATGTCCACGATTGTCTGAGCACGACCTTAAACTAGTAAGTGTTTTTTAATTTGGCCTATATTTGTTACTTATTGCCGGAATATATCTACCGAGCATTAGATTATTTTAGGTCGAACGGCGTTTCATAGATTTAAAAATGGGTTGCTCTCTGGTATATTCCCGTAGGGTTAGATAAACAGATGATACGCGATATGGATTGTCGCAATCACTTCGCGCGAGTAGCAATTGTAGTCTAATGTAAATGATGCGCAATAAAACTTCTACCCTTGACGTACAGGGTGCACGGCAATCGCACATATTTTGTGTTTTGAAACGTATTTAATGGTAACTTTGTATTAGCGACTTTAAGCGTAATTTACCGACAAAACTGACATAGAAGTCCAAAACCGCTGGTAATTTGCAGTATAGGTCATATTAATATTTTGTCGTAATTCCGTTGCCTTTTTGTACTACGTTGTATACTAAACTTGTAAGGTGAGTTTGTAACAATTAAAATACGCAAAATAAACATTTTCAACCTAGTAGCAGATTATTAGCTTGAATAGCGTAACGTAAATGACTGTGTAGTAAAATATCAGCAGGAACGCTTGAATGTAATTTGCTTATGCCTCAGTAATTAACAATGCAACGCTTAACCGGACGGTTAATTATTGCAGGCAACGCTTTGGGACGATAGATTTTGTTATTGCAGACGATAGAATTTGTTATTGCAGGCAACGCTTTGGGACGATAGATTTTGTACTTTTCTATTTGTTAGACATGAATGAACTTCCTTTTAAATGTTTACATCGTAATTATGGTTACCATTTGCTTATTTGGGCTTTTAAGCACGGTTAACCATAATATTGATAAATATTTGATGTCTTTAATAGCTTTTGAAACAAGCGGTTAACCGTAGCTGAACATCCTTTTTCTGCACAATTCGCAGTTGTGATAACTTGATCTTCTCTGATACAATCCTGCATTTTCTGCAAATGTCAAAAATACTACAATGTCTACACAAGTATGCCAGCAAACATAACATTTCTCGTCATTGTCGGTGCATGGTTAACCATCACGGTTAACTATGGTTAACCGTTCCGCGTAAGGTGAGACCAGAGGTAGATATTCGCCCCAAAGCACGATATAAGGTTATTTAATACGAACTATACAGTTAGCAAGAGCAGAAGATGGACAATTAATTTGTCTAATGTATTTTTTCACTAAGCCTTCTCCAAAACTCTAAGTTTATGTACTGCACATGCATGTTGGTTGGATCAAAAGCACTTGCAAATCTATCTGGTTAAATTAACATATCGTGTTGATCGGCGTTTTTTTTGTTTATAAAGCACATATAATCGAAAAAGTAATGTTTTTTGTCACGTTTCGAAGCTTAAAAATCTCTGCTGGAAGAAATATACATTATGAACCGTAAAACCCTCGGCATCTGATTGCTTTTAAAGTGTATATGAAATGAAAATTTCGATATCGGGTTTTTTGCATTTTCTGAAAATTTGGTCTTTTCCGATCATAAAAATACAAACCTTGTTGAAAAATTCGAACCAGAAGTTTGTTAATTTTACGATTAAAGTTCGCTTTTTCGACTATCTACTGGCGAAATTCCTGACATTCCATCGCGCGGTCAGTGACGTATGCAGTATGACACAGTGCGACCTTTCAATCGGTAAACATTATGAAAATTATAGCTTCGTCTGGGTAAGAATTGGGTTTTTTGAGAGATTTGAAGAAAATTGAAACGAATCCACTTTCTGTAGACTTCGCTTTCAATCTATAGATACAATATAATTACAGCATGCCGAGTTGTAGCGTATAAGCGGCCGAAAATTAAAATGCAAATTCGATGAGACAAGGGACTATATCTACTACGTTGTAGGTTTCAGACCGCATATTATGTAGATAGGCTTAGGCTATAGCTGATATTAATTATGGCAAACTAGTGTAAGCATAACATGGAAATGAATACTTAATATCTACATTTACTGACATGACATACCATAGCATGAGTATGGACCATTCCAAAACTAACAAATTTTGAATTGCATATATATATATATATATATATATATATATATATAGCATGGTAAAATGCGATAGGGTAAAAGGACTTTACTTAATATAGCTGCTTCTAATGATGGGCTCTACTTCAGTACTTCATTATATTCTTTCACTCACAACCGTTCGTTAAGTTCACATTGAGAATCTATTACATGTAGTTGCGTGTTTTTGTACACGAAATAGACCAGAATTTGAGCCTCTAGAAAACCTCGGCAAGAAACGCGTGCATGTTTTGCGCGACAGGCTGATAGCGCGTCTACCGACGTGACGAAACTCACACCAGCACTCGCACGCAATCTTGTTTGCATCTGTACTATATCTACTGTAACCCTATAAAGCAGTGCAGTCAGTTTTTATGCATTTACTATGCATGCTGGAAGTGGTCTGCAATTCTCCCATCCCAGCATGCCAAATATCATCTGACTATCCAACGATATGCTACTGCTCGAAGATATCTAAATAATCAAACAGTGAGTCGTTAATTTCATGTTTGCAAATACTACTAAAGAAGTTACTTATGTATGGTCGGAATATATATAAGATTTGCCTATCAAAACCCAAGGCTAAGTCAAGTCACTGTTATTACCCATTAGTATACTTTATTCTAATATATACATATAAAAAGATAAATTATAGACATACTGTATAACAAAGAATACAAGATATCGTTTAGAATACAAATATATACAAGAAATAGTGATATTTAATTATCTTGGGTTCTGCTTGTTGGTTTATGATACTTTTTCCCTGACTTTATATCAGAGAAAAGCCCCTGCGTCTCTAGTAGGCTACTGTTCGATGGGTGACGACTAATTATCATATTACAACATATAGGCTAACATAACACTTGCAGAACTAGTATGGTTCGATGCTGAATTAATATAAACGAGTATGTCTATGACATTCAGTATATATAGTTCATAATTTCCAGTCTTATCCGTCTGACCGTGTAGCTCAGTTGGTAGAGCGTCGATCTAGTAATTCGAAGGTCGCGGGTTCAAGACCCAGCCACGCCAGACAATATCTTTCTGCTTGGCCAGTTGCGCTGGGTATGGAAATTATGAAATACACACTCGAGAACATTTTCAACTTTTCAACTTAGTGCATAATCCCACTGCTGTGTGATGCATTCTGCGTCCTTGTCCTCGAACGTAAATTTGTCAATGCACTCCAAAATTTCCTTATAGCATCTATATTCTCTAGCGTCCTGCAATAATTCGTCGCTACAATGTCCACATGAGCACCTTAAAATAAACTCGCATATCAGACGAAACAGGGTAATAAATAGTCGAGGAACGGGTTAATATAATATTACTTTTATAACTTTACTTACCATGAATTAACAGCTACATTTTTATTAAATCTCGCCTCAAGAGTATCATGAAGAATGCCGTCTTCGTCCGTTTGGTCTTCCTCGTAGTCACTATATGCGACTAGCTCAAATTGATATGGCTGAACAACAGCGATGTCCTCATTATCTGCATGTTGACCCTTCTGTCTCTGTCTGTGATTCAAAGCTTTCGTTATCGCACATTTTTATAGCGAAATATAAAGGCAACTGTCTGATGTTCGTGTTATTTTGTTGTTTTCGTGTAGTGAAACACTTCTGCGTGTCATACTGCATACGTCACAAGGCCCGGAACTCTAGGTACCAGTCTTTCGCTAGTATCGAGTCGAAAAAGCGAACTTTAATCGTAAAATTAACAAACTTCTGGTTCGAATTTTTCAACAAGGTTTGTATTTTTATGATCGCAAAAGACCAAATGTTCAGAAAATGCAAAAAACCCGATATCGAAATTTTCATTTCATATACACTTTAAAGGAGAAAACTGCAATTTATTGGAGACAATCACGGCCAAAAGTGTTAATAAAATCAATCGACATTTTAGGAATATACAATCAAATAACTTCATATAGCCCCCGTCCACTCCCCCACTCAATGCTGCTATGATTTTCCACTCATTTTAAGCGTAGTTCAACAACATTGTGTTGGGGGAGGGGGGGGGGGTCAGTGTTTTAGACAAACTACAGGAATTAAACTACAATTTAAACTCTCACAGAGGCAAATTAAAATTTTATTAACAAGTTATGTCCACGATTGTGGATCAGTTCTATGTATAAAAATCGATGTTCCACCTTTATTGCATGGAACACTTTCAACACAGAGAAAATCATGCGCTGTTCACACTTTTGACACGCGATTGAGGGAAATGTAAAAGTTTTCTCCCCATTTTATAGGTGCACCTTTGATACTTTCTAAAAATTAAATTTTCTGTAGGTTGCCGTCTACGCGACCATGTAGTCAGTGAATACAACACACTAAATGTCGTGGAATGTTCTCTGTACTGTCTCGGAAAACCTTCTGACTGCAAATCAATCAATTACAAAGCAAGAAAACATCAACATCCTTCTAACAACTGTCAGCTCAACAACGCCACGAAAACAAAATACTCTCAGAATTTGCAGGCTGATAAAAACTATGATTATTATGAACCGCTGAAAAAGGTATTTTTTAAAGATTTTCTGTAAGCATGAAAAAGAAAGTAATATATGCAAGCAATAATTTTTTTGTGCCGTTCGTCGATCATGTATCCACGTTTTTGCAACGCAAATCCTTCGCAAAATTGCAGGGCGAAATATTGGATGGCTCACTGAAGTATAATTTGAGCGTGCACGTGTTCAATCGTGTGCATACTCAACATGAGCTCCATCTTTGAATTTACTATATGACCAATTGTTAAACACGTCCGAATTTATCATTATGATAAATTCACGGCACATTTTGAATTTATCAATACAGTGAATCATAAGCGTTAGACAAGCAACCACAAGCATTAGACAAGAGTTTTTGTTATAGTCGAAGGCATGTATATGAGTTTGTATGCGTTTCATTTAGCACAGGTAATCTCAACTTTACTGTTTAAGGGTAAAATGACCATCAGACCATGGCGGTCAACATGGCATATGTGCCAAAAGCTGAATTCGGGACGAAAGTCCTGAAAATGACACCGCCCTGAAACTGCAGTGTCGACATAGCTCTAACTTCAGAAAACAAAAAGCGATAGTCTTTCTGAAGTGCTTATAGTGTTCAGAAGGGTTGCTTTTAGGGGTGGTCATCGGAAGAAAAAATTTGTTTAAGTATAATATTTTACAAGAAAATGACCATGCACCACCCCAGGTAAATGGCGAATTATGCATAAAATAGGTAATATGCCTGGCAGAAATTAAATATTCTTATTTCCTAAAAAAAATTATCATGGGGTGAAAAACTATGCTCAATTTAATATAAATATCGTTGATATCATAAGGATTGTCATTGTTTTCTTTAAATATAATACATTTTATTTCACTTACCCCCCGCCCCCCACGAAAACATGATTTCAGCCATATTGTGCCGTCTTGTTTGCTTTTTATCGCCGAATCTCGCAAATATCATCCAGTTGTTGTACTTTTACATAATCATGGCTGAATAAGATTTCAAATAAAATGATAAATGGCTGAATAAGATTTCAAGAAAGGTTTCATCCACTTTTGAAACAGTGCAGTGTATTTTACCTTCGATATTGTGTCCTTCGATATTTCGTCAAATTGCCGCCATTTTAATGGCTGGCCGCTTGTCTGCCCAAGAAATGCCACTTCTTCGTTTTCATGTATTTAGATTACATTATCTAAGAGTACTTCATTGTAGGATAGTCTAAATCCAAAAATTGGAAATATTATTTGTACTTGGGAGGAAAAAACCTCCCAGTACAGTTGTCCTGTTAGAATTCAAAAGAAATAATTTAAAAGTCACACGCAAGTTCGCGAAAACACCTCTTGGACTACATGACAGGGGGTGAATATTTTCACGGAACGTTTGTTCGCCACTACAGTAACCTAGCTAAATAGATTATTTTTTTGTATTTTTATAATTGATGTTAAAAATACGCAAACATTTATTGTTTTTATCATAAATCACAAATATACAATAAATATAATGTACTTAGTTAGGTTGCTGTGGCCTGTGGTGGCGAACAAACGTTTCGTGAAAATATTCATCCCCCTGTTAAGTAACCCACGAGGTGTTTTCGCGAACTTGCGCGTGACTTTTAAATTATTTCTTTTGAATTCTAACAGGACAACTGTAGTGGGAGGTTTTTTCCTCCCAAGTACAAATAATGTTTCCAATTTTTGGATTGGGACTATTCTACAATGTAGTACTCTTGGATAATGTAATCTAAATACATATGAAAACGAAGAAGTGGCATTTATCGGGCAGAGAAGCGACGAGCCATTAAAATTGCGGCAATTTGACGAAATATCCAAGGACACAATATCGAAGATAAAATACACTGCACTGTTTCAAGTGGATGAAACCTTCTTTGAAATCTTCTTCAGCCATTTGTGATTATGTAAAAGTACAACAACTGGATGATTTTTTCGAGATTCGGCGATAAAAAGCAAACAAGACTGCAAAATATGGCTGAAATCGGGTTTTCGTGGGGAGTAAGTGAAATAAAACGTATTATATTTAAAGAAAACAATGATAATCCTTACGCAATCAACAATATTTATATTAAATTAAGCATAGTTTTTCACCCCATGATAATTTGTTTTTAGGAAATAAGAATATTTAATTTCTGCCGTATTAGTTATTTTATGCATAATTAGCAATTTACCGCTGGTGGTGCATGGTCATTTTCTTGTAAAATATTATACTTTAACAATTTTTTTCTTCCAATGACCACCCCTAAAAGCAATCCTTCTGAACACTAGAAGCACTTCAGAAAGACTATCGCTTTTTGTTTTCTGAAGTTAGAGCTATGTCGACACTGCCATTTCAGGGCGAGGTCATTTTCAGGACTTTCGTCCCAGATTCAGCTTTTGGCATATATGCCATGTTGACCGCCATGGTCATTTTACCATAAAACAATTGACATTACCTGCTAAATTAAACGCATACAAACTCATATACATGTCCTAGACTATTGAGGGGCACGTCCATATTAATGTTGTGATGCAAAACATCAAATTGACGTGTTGGTGCTGACACACCCACCCATCCACTGATGAAAACGTCAAGCGTGCCATTCCCAAATTTTTAATAATTGCGTACCAATAATTGCGAAACAATTTTTTTTTTTTTTTGTCAAGTTGCCATCTTGCCATCTCGTTTTGTTGTCAAGTTGCCATCATCCAAAAATCCCCGCACGGCAGATAAACATTGCCGCGCAAGTATTTTTGTCATCATGTGCTGGACTACTACAACGCCATTAATACAAAAACTATACGCTACATAGTTGTCTTGGGTTGAAAGCTGTCATTTTAATGTCATTGAATGAGATAAAGATATGCAAAATTATTGTGTGAATCTAATTAAAAGATTAATGAATATCGATGTGTTAGGGTATAAAACGTTTGTGTTATTAAATACCTAGTTGACTACAATTTTGTCCTTTGAGTTTTGTTTAGGTATTCGCAGCAACGTCGAAATTACATTTTTAAACAATGGTTTCTCTAGATATTTTTCAAATTTCAAATTATTTAATATTTCTGTGGTATATGACTTCACAATGCGAAAATTAAATATATTTTCTAATTGCAGGAAATTCAAAAACAAGAACCAGTACATTATGGTATGATAACTTCAAACACATTTATTGCAATTAACAGGGTAATGGTTCGAGGTTAGGTTGAAGTTAGGTTGAGGTAAGATTGAGGCTAAGGTGAGGTGAAATTTGGTTTTAAGTTAAGTTGAAGTTACATTGAAGTTAGGTTGAGGTTTGGTTGAGATTTCGTTTCGGTTACGGTTACGTTGAGGTTAGGAGTTTAGTATATTTAATATACTTTTTTTCTTCAGCAAAATGTTGTAATGAACTCTACAAATCAGGCAAGACAACCACCGGGGTATATACAATCGACCCAGACGGCCATGGAGCTTTTCGTGTTCGTTGTGATATGGAAACCACTCCAGGGAGGGGCTGGACTATATTCCAAAGTCGTGTAGATGGCTCTGAGGAGTTTTACAGAAACTGGGCTGACTACACAACTGGATTTGGCAATTTGTCTGGTGAGTTTTGGCTTGGTTTGGACAAAATTCATCGCCTCTCAGCCAGTGGGCAGAATGTACTGAGAGTTGATCTCCAAAGTTTTGAGAGAGAGACAGCTTATGCAGTTTATGAATCATTTTCTGTGGGAAATGAAAGTGAAGTCTACATTTTGAATGTTGGTAATTACTCAGGTACTAATAAATATAGTTATAAATTCCTTGAATGCAACTTTTCAGAAATAATTCAGTCAATCACCTGATTAAGGTGCCCCGTTCGTAATAGTCAGAAGTGAAATGGCTTCCGTACAGCAAATGTGAATAATATTGCTTCTTGTCAACACTGTATTTCGTAATGCATAATTTCAACAGAAGAAACGTTTTTATTTAAGAAATAGAGAACGAGTCGCATGCGTTTATGGTGTAACAAGACGCCTACTCAGGCGTTCACACTGACCTGAAAATGATGACATGCGCGCTATGGTGCAATCTCGTTACCTGGGCCTGCGGTCCTTGGGAAGGAAACGAAGGCTCTGGGATAATCCGTTTCAGGGAGGAATCTGATTGGCCATTGATATGGAATGTGCATTTCAATCTTAGCCAGAATTCCTGGCTTTCGGCAACAGATTATCCCAGAGCCTTCGTTTCCTTCCCGAGGATCGCAGGCTCGGGGAACGAGATTGGCTATGGTGTAATAGACAAAGGAAATGGGGAGCAAGAGAGTTCGTATAGAACAGTTTCAGCGGTAGATACGGTAGATTTATCCAAAGAAAATCAATAATTTGACAACAAAAAGCAGAAGGCAGAAATCACCACTTTATCATTGGCAACTTTTCAACCCTACTGCAATTAGTGCAACCTTGAGTGTCCCTATATGTCGTGTGGAGTTTATCTGTTGGTCGAGTGTCGAGGGTTAAATGTCGAGGGCGAGGGTAAAACGTCGAGGGCGAGGTAATATGCGTTCCACGCACATATTATAGGCTACTACGTGCATTTTAAATGTACTAACAGGGCAATTTAAACTTCACGCCAGAAACGGCCTTTTTGGCCGCCGACTGGAATTTTTCTTCTTCGTTCGCTTCATCTTCTCATTGTTATCTCAAAAGAATCATCATACATTACAGTTTTAAAATAGCTAGTTCATTTCCCATTTATTACCTTGATCCTTGTAGCATAAATTTTATATTTACTATAGCTACCACAAACGACTTTTTGCAATTTTGCGCACCCAGCGCTGCGCGAATTCTAGTAGCTGCTGCATGAATTTTAATAAGGCCTGCTCTGGGACCTTAACTCGCCGCGAGATAAGGCGAGCCTATGCGAGTTAAGGCGAGATAGGGCAAGTTAAGGAAAAATCTGGCTACTGACCCTTGCGAGTTAAGGCGAGATAAGGCGAGTTAAGGAAAAATCTGGATATTGTATACACACTATGTATTTTGCTTTGTTTGTGCATTATGCAAAGCAAGTATGCAGTACTTGAAGTAGCAGGCCTAGAAAAGTGTTTTATTCTATATTCTACAATACATACATGATATGCACAAACTTGGGACCTGGAAACAAGTTGCATCAAAACGAGGCTGGTAGCCAGATGCCAAATTGTATAATTTGAGGCATTATGCATAGTGTGTATAGAACTGCATTGTTTCCTAAATCTTCACAGTATCAGTTGCTAACTTGCTATGACTAGCTTCTTCACATATTTTGTAATTTTTAGCTGTTTTCATGAATCATGACATTATCAATTAGGTTCGAATTTGTTTGCAAGCAGCAGTCCTTGTATTCAATTCTTAATTTAATTTAATATAAACATTGATATGAAACAAAGAGAAACTAAAAAGCTTGCTAGGAAATTATAGATTATTTACTATTAAATTTAGCACTTTAATAACTATAATTTTAATTAACGAAATTTCGAACCACAATGATATATTAAATGATAACCAATAAACCAACGGTCATAATACTAAAATTAATGCCCAACTTACTTGCTTTGGAAACGTAAATGAATGTAAATGACAATGATTCCTCTGTATAAAACTGTATTATTGTTTAATAATATATATTCCTATTTCCTATCAAGCTTTTATATTCAGAATTCACTGCTTCTCATTAACACTAACACTAAGTATTGCAAGCAGATTGTAATTTTTCCGCTGAAGGGAGCAATATTTTCAATCATATATGTTCCCAGACAGCATCCCGCCCCCCTGATAAACGGAATCTTCCTTCCCATCATCGCGTAATTCCTCTGCGGTCGGGGGGGGGGGTCTACGCAGTCTATAAGTCAGAATCATTCGATTCCGCAAACGCAATATGGCGGGATATGCATCGACATTTTAAAGTTTATTATGATATTAAAATGAGATTCAAAAAGACTTGTCACTACAGATTGTTTCTACTAAATTTAATGTTGGTCACAGACAGGCAAGCACGGTATGTTTACTACAATATTCACCTTTAACTTTGCTTTTACTGTAAATCTATATTTTCACGAATTTTGTGAATGTGATTGTGTATTAAAATATTTCTCCTAAAATTCTGCGCGTATCGTTGGTTCAGTAGCTCTGTTGCCGGTTGTATATAAAAACAGTTCAACGAATAACTTTGCAGTTTGAGCTGTTGATATCACAGAGACCTTTATACAATTATACTATAAGTATAACAGTATTTAGTAAAATTTGATAGTCATGTGATAGCTGCATAAAAGCTAAGCAAGTACTTTTGATGTTTTGATATCATTGTATAGTTGAAATAGAATAGATAAGTGATCTGTATATTAGTATATATGGGAATATTAATTTTCAACCATACTTGGCAGTTTGGGTTCTGTTATTATGTTAAATTATTTTCACTGTGATTTATTAAATACTGGGTATTACTGTATACAGTATGCCTGCTAAGGCCTGCTTTATACTGTATTAAAGTAGAGTAGTTGGTGGAATTATTTGATCAATACAGCTTTATGGCATTACAGAGAATGTAGTAAATTAAAAATATGATAACATTTCAGATAATCAGGCTTACACACTTGTATGCTGATGTCTGTTGCAATGCCAAACTCATAGAATATATAAGTGAGTATTGTGAGTCTAAAGAATTTTGATTGACAGTATTTGTGTTTTACTGATGTGAAACTGTGCCGGTTTTTATTTTGCAAAATAGGGCGAGTTTAGGCGAGTTAAGCAAAATTCAGTCAACTTCTCATTGCGAGATAAGGCGAGATTGGGCGAGTTAAGCAAAATTTGATCAATTTCTATTGCGAGATAAGGCGAGTTAGGGCGAGTTAAGGCGAGTTAAGGTCCCAGAGTAGGCCTTTTAATACATGTGTTATGCTACATTATACACATGAGAAAAATCCAACACTGTATGCTATATTGTCGACATTTTGTAGCAGATTTCGTAACAAATGTCTTAGTTCTTGTTCATTGCCAGTGGTATTTTGAACGCACGCTTTATCTTTACTTGCGCCAATTCTAGTAGGCTAGTAGCTACTGCGCGAATTTTAATACATGTATTATATATGGCGCGTTTTTACTGTCAAAATTCAATAGGTCCAATAGTTATAAGTCGAACACTAAATCACCAATGATACAAATCGGGCAACACTTACTCGAATCGAGCAGACTGATATGTAAATCGATTATTGAAATCGATCAATATACATTCAAATCGAGCAAACAGTATAGCCAAATCGAACGACTATTCCTTGTTTATATTATATTGTGAACTAAATGTTATTGTATTAGGCAAATGAGAACCATGCAATAAATGTCTTGGTATTTTGAATGCAAGCTTTATCTTTACTACTTACCCGAACTCTAGTAGCTACTGCGCGAATTTTACTACATGTATTAAGGTATATTGCCGACATTTTGTAGGTGAAAAGAATTGGCTAGTTTACATTGCTCATTATATTATGAAATATGATACTAGTTAAAATTCGCGTCGAGCTAAATGTTATTGTATTAGGCAAATGAGAACCATACAATAAATGTCTTCCCTTGTAGAACCAAACACTATTTAATTGCTATTTAATTCCTATTTTATTGGGCTATTTAATTCCTATTTGTCCAAGTATTTATTTCCTATTTTTACTATTATTTTTTTTCGAGGTTTTTCCTATTTAAATTGGGGTAGAAAAGCTATTTTTTTCCTATCCAAGTGGAACCATATTTTTTTCCTATTCATGATATATTTCTAAACAAATACTTAATTGATGTACTCGAATAGAAATTAAATAGGTTTCAAATATGATAAAAATAGAGCTATTTAAGGAAATTATTAAAAATATATAGTTTCGACATAGTTAATAAATATGTATGAAATAGTTAAAACATAGTGACAATATAGGTATAAAATATGTAATAAATAGTTGAAATGAGTTTCAACTAAGTTTAAAATAGTCAATAAATAGTTGAAAAATAGTGATATTATAGTTTAAAAATAGATAATAAATAGTTCAAAAATAGTGATAATATAGTTTAAAATAGATAATAAATAGTTCAAAAATAGTGATATTATAGTTTAAACATAGATAATAAATAGCTCAAAAATAGTGATAATATAGTTTAAAAATACATAATAAATAGTTCAAAAATAGTGATAATATAGTTTAAAAATAGATAATACATAGTTCAAAAATAGTGACAATATAGTTTAAAAATAGATAATAAATAGTTAAAATACATTCCAGCTTGTTAAAAATAGATAATAAATAGTGGATATAATATTGCCCAAATAGATTAAAAATAGTTAAAAAATAGTAATAACATATTAAATAAATATTTAAAATATGTCCTGTTAATACAGTTAAAATAGTTATTAAATATAGTGTATACAAATACATATAGCCTATAAATATTTTTAAAATATATTATAAATACCAGTAGTTAAAACATAGATAATAAAAAGTTAAAACATATAATGTAAATAGTCTTTAAATAAAATATAATTACTAAAAAAAATTGAGAACAAGTGTAGAAGTGCTGAAACATCAGAGGCTATTACGGACCTTACTTTAGTATTTACCGTCTGTAAATGCCAGACAATTTTACTTATCAGTAGGTAGATGTCTGTCAATAAATGAGTTAAAAATCTGTAGTTAGCAGTCTCTTTGGTAGCCAAAGAGTTAAGTATATACATACAGTAACTTGGCTGGGGACAGGGCAGAAAAAAAGCAAGAACATCATGTAACATCAAGAATAGGGTGAAGCTCAGCTGCAGCTAGTTCAGGCCTTCTTTACAGGTTAGAAAAAACATTTATATATTTGAATAATACCCTGAATCTAGCTGGATATTTTTCAACTATCCAACATATACCCTGTATGGAGCTGCATAGCAAAAACATTCTATCCTGCACACCCTACAAAGAACTTCATTCTTCAAGTAAGTAAGTAAGGTAAGAGCAAATTGCTCCTTTATAGGTGTTAATATTTAGGTGAGATATGGGCGAGCATGCCACAGTCGGTAAGTAAAATTGTCTAGCATGAAATGTCAGAGTTAAATAATAATTTCGGTTGACGCCTGAAGTTAATAAATAAATAAAAACATGGGGAGAGTCTAGTACGCTAGCTAGACACTTCCCTTGATGAATAAAATTGTCCGGCATTAGGCAAGATAACATTTAATAACAAAGTGCTGAATATTGGGCTCATTGGAGTGAAATGGGTAATTCCAAAAACAATCAAACCCTTACCGGGGTGTCTCTAAAATATATAAAATGTAGCCCAAAGGTTGTTACATATATTATTAAGCAGATCATGAAGATGTGGTGTAACTAAATGTATTCATAAGTTTGAACAAGCAAACTAAGGACTTTAACTGTTTTCAGTTAGGGACACATCTATAATCAAGTTGCCACATATGACAACAATACATCAAATTGATATTTTTATCTATCCTAAACTCACCCACCTATATATGAATAAATATTGGAAACTTATGAAAGTACCAGTTAATTTGAAACCAGTCGATAAATTTTCTCAAACCATGTTTAGCTGGGACATGTTTGGGTAGGCATATGAGAATTGAGTAGATGCCATCATGTCAAGCTATATTATTTTATACAACAAACACTGGAATCTGGCAATCTGTCATTTAGTGTCATATACACTATAGTATACACAAAGATCAAAGTATACTATTAATTGGCATTACAATAAACATCATTTATAAATATAAAGGCTGAGTCAAATGTAAGCCATTCTATAAAACTAATGTTGTTTTAATTCAAATATTGTCGCAGCAAATTGAAATTTTAAGCCGGAACATGTGCTCAAAATTCACGAATGAAGATAGCAAATATTTCCTTTCAAAATTGCTCTATTATATATAAAACATAACAAAATTCTTACCTGAATGTTACCCAGTCATCCCTGATCTTTTATTTTCAAAATAAATAACACTTTCGCTCAATAAAAGCTCTGTATTTGAGCCATTTCGAGCGGAAAGTTTAAACTAAAAATATTTTAAAATATGGAGGTGTGAATTGTGAGTTTTGTGATGCTATCCTAGAAAGCTTTGCGCGCGTTGTAAGAAAATTAGGCACCAGTCTGTCAAACCGCGCTCGTCGTGAGAATTTCTGGTGGTATTCCTATATGCATGGTGTTTTGTCAAAAACGCCGTTTTGTGAAGAGACAAAATACCTACCTCCACAAAGTCCACAAAGACTATAAATATTTTTGTAAATATAATTTCGATGAACTGATGAAAAATTTAAAATTAACTAACTCAAACTGGGAAATTTTGACCAGTTAAATAAATACATTTACCCTTTTGCTATTTCAGTGCCTTTTTAAACTATATATCTGGGGGGCAATTGCCCCCCAGGGAAAGAATTCCCCCCCCCCCAGTAAAGCCATTTCTGCCCCCGAAGTGCTAAGCAGAATTGCTCATGATTGCTGTCAGAATTGCAGTTGATTTACTTGATAATGACATTATGCCCTTCCATAGCCTCCTCCACAGCTATCTTGTGTGTAATTCATATTGT